GCCCCCCGCCCCCCCTCACTCTGCGCCGCAACCCCCGCCCGCTGGGTAGCCCAAAGCCCGGCAGTCCTACTGCCTCCCAGCCTGGCCGCACCCCCTCCCGCCTCTGCTCGGGGGTAAACGGGGACCCTGCTGGCGCCCCCCCGTGGACTCACCTTCATGCCGTCTATGCCGTCGATGCCACGCCTGCCCTTCTCCCCCTGGCAGGAGAGACAAGAGAGAGCCGTGGAGATGCCGCTTCCGGCCTGTGTCCCAGCCCCCCACACTCCCCGGCACAGGCCACGCGTGGTAGCCCTTGATGGGGGCACCGCCCCGGGCCCTGCCAAAACAGCCTCGTGCCCCTCCCTGCACCCCTCCCTCCGCAGGCTCCACGCCCCAACACCCCCAGCCACAGCCGCTCACCTTAGCGCCTTTGGAGCCACGCCAGCCCTGTGTGGGGAGGAGAGGAGAGGTTAGCGGCAGCACACAGGTCACGCCCCCTCCCGCCATGTGGAGCCCGGCGCTGACGTGGCCCAGCTGACCAGAGAGAACCCAGCTTCTCTTCGCTCCCAAGGCGGGTCCTTCTGCTGGGCGTGGCATGAGGGCATGTGCGCACGTGTGTGAGTATGTGTCTGTGTGAGTGAGTGTGTGTGCGTGTGTCTGTGTGCATGTGCGTCTGTGACAGTGTGTGTGTGTGCACATCTGTGAGAGTGTGTGAGTGTGTGTGCGTGTCTGTGTGTGCATGTGCGTCTGTGTGAGTGTGTGTGCGTGTGTGTGTGCGAGTGCATCCGTGAGATTGTGTGTGCGGGTGTGAGTGTGTGCGAGTGCGTCTCTGTGTGTGCGCATGAGTGCGTCTGTGAGAGTGTGTGCGAGTGTGAGTGTGTGTGAGTGTGTGTGTGCGAGTGTGTCTGTGTGTGTGTGTGTGTGTGAGTGTGTGTGTGTGTGTGTGTGCGCGCAGGCGTGCGTGAAGCCACCCCAGCCTGGCGGAGCTGCCCAGGGTGGCTACGTGGCGGATTGCTCCCCTTGCCCTGCCGTGGCAGGGGGGAGGGAGCGCAAGAGGGCCG